CAAATGCATTTATTCAAAACCTCTCCAACTCTTTTTGCTCTGCTCCTGGTGTATTTCCTGCATTTAACAAGGTTAATCTTCATGGTGTCACTTCACTCAGGTAAATACCCTGCTTCTGCTCAACCTGCCTCAAAGTTTCCAGGCTCTGAATCAACAAGAAACAGTAGCTTCTGTTTTTAATTCACTACTCAGCAAGCACCAAAGACAGATGCAATTCTTACAGATGAGTTTGTGGAGCATGAAAACAAACAAGTTCTGTTGACAGTTACGATGGAAGCTGGTTTTCAGATGGTCCTCTTGCAAATATATGCAGGCACTAGACTTAATGCTGTAACTACTGCATCTAATACATGAATCAGCTACGTTTGGGATGCTAATTGTGCTTCCTGAGCTGTATTGGCTTTTTCTGTAAAAGGCTCACGCTGAGAAGCAGATGAAAGCTATTGAACTGTACTGGTTTGGAGTGATAGATGGACCCTTCAGATCAATAAAGAACCTGTTTGGTCAATACAGCCCTCTGAGTGCCTTAAAGCATGTTTGTATGGTCTGAACAACTCTTGGCATTAGCTGGCCATCACATAGTGGTTGAGAGCTCTCTTGGTGGTCCTCTTGGCTGAAACTAAGCTGATAAAACCAGCCAGATGTCCTATTAACGCTTGATCTTACTCTTGCTTTTTTAAGATAAGCCAATAAACAAGGTTATGTAACCAAGTTTTAACATAAGAGCTTTAATAAAATGTACTTTCAGAAATATATATATATAAAAATATATTCCAGGCTGTGGTAAGCCCTAGCTAGTTTCCCCTGTGGCAAGAAGACTGGAGGTGACCAGCCTACTTTTCACATTGAAATACTAAGAGCTGACAGGTGCAGAGGCTGGGAAAGTGGTGTCAGTTGAGCTGCCTGCTCAGAGAAGCTCCAAACCTTTGTGCCTGTACTGTTGTGGCTTGGCTTGGTGGGAGGAGTGGATTTAAGACCCTCCCAGGGGTTGAGTGTGCTGTTGTGCTGCTCCTTGCTCCTACTAGCCTGCAGGGAAGAGCATAATTCAGGGTGACAAGCTGCTGTTCTTTCCTCTACACTAGCTGGCTTCTAATTATCCAACTGGAAATGTCAGTAAAAGCAAGGAGAACGCTGAGGTTTTTTGTCACTAACATGCAGGATCTTCATGCTGGTTTTCAGCATGAGAAAGGAAGAAAAATGCAAAAAATGTTGCATCTATTGCATTTATTTGCTGTGTGTGGGTTCCACATACCCTCCTCAGCAAGCCTGGCCACTTGTCTGGCCTTTCCTGTTTCATGGAGGAGCTTGGGGAGAAATTAGGGAACTACTCTTAATAGCAATTCCTGTGCAAGAAACACAGTAGAGGTTCCTCTCCACCATCCTCTGAATAAAAACAGCATTTAATAGCTCTGATCCTCCTTCGTAGCCAAAGGGAGGATTCCCTTACTTAAGTTTAACAATGAATCAGCCATGTACACTTGCTTGTTTCTAATAGGAAACCACTTCACTGGTAGAAAAATCTTTTTAATCAAAGTAGGCTGTGCTCATTCTGCCTGGGGTTAATTTGCTGAAGCTTCAGAAGAGAATGATAAACTCCTAGAAAACATCTCAGTCAGCTCAAGAGGTGAACTGGAAAACTTGGGAGAGCTTTTTGATGTGCTGGAGCTCTGCATATTTGACTTCTGGCAGGGCTGATTGGTGCAATTTTCTATGTAGGTTTTAGATTGTTTGAATTACATGTGTAATGAAGCACTTTGTAAATTATATCCCTCTGAGGGAGACTTGAGCTTGGAAAATATCAGGTGGAAAGTTTGGGTATATGTCTGAGGTGCTTATTTGGGCTTACTTTTTCCTTAGGGAGAAGTTATGAAACTAATTAACTTAATGAGTTGGAAGAGCATTTAGGTGTCTGGCACAGTGAGGTAGACATCCTCCTTCTAAGCATCATGGTCTCTTCTCATCCTTTTGGGGATGTGTTTTTAAATAGGCTTCTGAGCTTTGGGACTCTTCTGAGGGTGGGTGATGAGAATTAACTCTAATCCAGGGGCTGAGTCCTTGTCCCTTGTGTCCTGGTTACTGATGAGGAATTGGCCCCTCTTTCCTTCCCTGTGTTGAATCCTGTGGAGCTGTACACAATTTCACTTGGAAGTGATGTTAATCTGGCTGTTTAATGTCCTCCTCTGTCCTGCCTTTTTCCTCTCAAGCCACCCAGTATGTGCTGTGGCTTCCCTTCTAAATGTGGTTGGCACAAATCACCACGAGGCAGAGCAGCCTCATCTCATTCCCAGCCTGACCATTGTTGGTATTGATCCGTGGATATCCATCTTGGTTCACTAATGGGCGTCAAGTGGAAAAGTTAATACATTTCTACTGCATTTGAATTCATCTCTCACTTGGCTCCTTTGGACTAGCTCCAGGATCTTGTTAAGAAGAGAAGATACTGATCATCTTAAAGGATGGGAGGGGAGTCTGCCCATTCAGGCACAACACTCGTATCTCTCCCCTATGAAATGGGCAGTAAAGCCCAGAGGGGGGGAGGAGGAGGAGGGTTGATAGAGTGGCTCTGGGGATGTAGCTGTTTAAGATGCCTTGAGCACTGGAGAAAAACTGCAGAAAATGGAGTTTAACATCCGGAAGAATTCCTTGTGCTTCGTTAGCAGATATTGGGGGGCACACAGGAGACCCAGCCTCTTCCAGCACCCAATGATGCTGTTGCTGCCTTTTGGCAGCTGAGCCCCAAATCCACCTTAACACAGCTCTCTCCTCAGTTCTTAAGACAAATTGAGGTTCCAGACCCGGCTGCTTCAGTGCTTGGTGATCTTGTGTCAATCCTGCCATGGTCTGAGGCGCTGCTTTGCCGATTGGTCCTGGTGCTTTCTAATCTGCAGAAGACACCTGTTCCCTAATTATCCCCATCCTTCCTCCCTCTCTCTTTGTCTCAGCTCTTTCTGATGCATGAGCTATTAACACGGTTTGAAGGGAGCCTGTGTTGAGCAGTGTCTGTGTTGGGAGAGGAGGTTGAAAGAGATTAGTCACAAACTCGAGAATAATTTCCAGTAAGAGAGTTGGTGTCTGCTTTGGTTTGCTCTGGGCCCTTGACCTATGTCACTGTTTAAAGTTGTAGTCCTTTGGGGTTTGTGCACTGCCTTGGGACTGAGTGGCAGTCTGTAGAGGCTGGAAAAGGGTGGCAGGAGAGTAGAGTTAAATCCCCGATTAGGAGAAGAGAATGAGAGGGAGAAGAGTGGAAGAAAGTCTTGTCAGAGGCTGGTTTGCTTCTGTGTTAAAGCTGGAAGTGTCTTAACTGTTAAGGCTGTTATAGCTCTTAATTGTGCCAGGTAGTTAATTCCTGTGTTGTTGTATTCTGTGTTATTTCAGCGTTTCCTCCAGGGATCCCCAATCACTTCACATATCTAAATTCTTTGCATGCTTTCTGTCCCTTTTTTTGCAAGCAGGAAAAACAAGGCTTGGTGTAAACGATGGCCTCGGATCAGAATACATCTCCACCAAGCGACGTGTGAAACCAAAGGTTCTCTCGTCTGGTCCCCTTCTGGGTTTACTTTGGTCGTCTGAGAATACTTGTGATGCGAGGCGTTGCCAATTTGCCTTGCAGATATTCTGAAACTGTTTCAAAAAAGGTTTCTTGGGGTTGTACTGGTCTTAAAATAGCTTGGATTGTGCTCTGTCACTGACTCTGTTGGGGTCGACAGAGACCTTGAGGCTCTGCAGCCTGCCCTTTTGAATCCCAGCTCTTCACTTCTGGTGGCACCTTTTTTCCTGCTGCTTTAAGAAGTCATGGAAAAGAGCAACGTGTAAATATTAATGTTGAATATTTGTCTTTAAAAATCCCTTTGGGATGCTCAGTACATCTGTACGGTGTGTGCTGTGGCTTTCTGGATACTGCCTGATTATAACTTTTGGACCTGTTGGTGTATCCTAGCCTGTACCATCCCGTGGATGACAGGCAGGGCTCTCTTCTGGAACACCCCTGCTGTCTCCTTTCTCTCAGTTCATGTTCAGACCTGACTTAAGCTCTGTTGTCCTCCTGCAGCGAAACCTTTTCTCTTCTGCCTGGCATGGGTAGGGCTCTGGTGCTGGGGCAGAGGTGAGGGTGCTGCACAGGACACTGCTCCTCTGGGCTGGGCTGACAGCACAGTTGCCTTGGGTGCCCTGGGAAGATGCAGAAAGAAACTTGCATGGCAAGCTCTGTAGTCCTGATTGCTATCTTTGTTGGATCTATTCTGCAATCCACCTGAAAGAGAGACAGCAAACTGGTACTGCAGCATACCCCAGTTTAATTTGCTAAGAAACATTGGTCTTAATATACATCTAAGAGAGCAGCAGAGAAAGATCTGTCTTCATTGACAGGACCTTTAATTTCCACACTGAATGATGTTCTTTCTTAGTTGTATCTCTTTGATTTCTTTTTCCTCACTTTGCACAGGTTTTCAGCTTCCAAGTCAACAGCTTAACTGTTAGGCTGTAGCTTCCTGCTGTAAAATAAGCCATTTGAAGCGTGGAGACAAAAATGTTCCAGGCAGACCTGGCTCCATTGCTGTTGAGCCTGGGACACCCCAAAGCCACCGCATCAATGTTAATGTGAGCAGATGGGTCATGGCTATTGCCACTCAGACCTAAACTGAGCGTCTGCCTGGACAAAGAGGCCACAGTTTAATATTTAATGTTCCATAAGGCTGCACTGAGAGCTTTTACTGAAACGTGTCAGTAAAGGAGTGCTGTAGCAGCGAGAGCAAGCAGCTGAGAGCCAAGAGGACCCTGTGCCCTACTTCTGCCCGAGGCATGTTCTCTGATATCAAGCAGCTTGCTTGACCCCCTGTTTCTCAGCCAACTTAGCTGTAAAATTAAGTAACAAAGAAAGCACCATGACAAGCAGACATGTCTGGAGGTGAACTTCCAAGGCGAGCTTTGCTTTACTGATAAATTCGTCTCACTAGCAGAATTTCTGGGTTTTAACCTAATGTGTGTTTTTGTTGTCCTTTCAGGCAGCATTCACTCTCCTCCTGGGCCCTTTCACCTTCTTCAATGTACAGAAGACAAAATATCTTCAAATCATGACGTCCCTCATGAGATGGATAGGTGAGTCTTGGCCACCCCTTTACCATAGCTGGAACCCGAGTCACGCTATCAATGCATCTCTTTGGCAGGATGTTCTTGTTCAGAAGCAAGTGCTTATCAAAACAACCTCTTTGGAGAGGATTGTCCAGGCCTGATAAGTCTTTGAGGAAAAGGATTTTTGTACTAGGATGAAATTTTTGATTAAAACAAAACAAATTGTTCTCAATCAGACATGAGCCAGTGGATGAAGTTTTAATCCGGTTTGTGTGAGAGGCAGAAGGGATTTGGAAGAGTCTCCTTGGGGGGGGGGGGGGGGGGACCATGATACCTGCCAGTAGGTCTTCAGTGGTAAGTTTTTCATTCTGTCAGCATGTGTACAACAGACTTTGAGCAATCTCTGTTTTGATCTGAGAACAAAAGGCATTTCTGTCAGACTTTCTGCCCTTAGTTTTATCATCGCTTTGCTTTTTTTTTTTATTTCCTGGACCTTGCTTTAGCATAGAATGTGCTGCATTGGAAACCCCCAAAGCAATGTGTGGTGTCCTTGAGAAGCCCCACTCTTTTGAGTCCTCTCCAAAATCATTGCCAAGAACTTCGGGAAGACAGATAATTATCTTAAAGGAAACAAGACATCTCTACTTTTTTTTTTTAACTTTTTGCAGTGCCTGGCTTCTATGTGTGCATGCCCTTAAAGGCTGAGGGAGTGGGGGGGTTGTTATGGAGGCTTATGTTGAGGTTTGTCTTGTTTTGTGTAACCTGGACAAAGTTACTGATATTCAGGACTGACAGAGGGTGTTAGCAGCACCAGCAGCATTTCTGCAGGTTAACAGTCTCCTGGGTCATGGGTCCAGACCATTCAAGCACAGAGTTAGCTCTGTTTGTACCTGTTACTGACCTGGAATAGGGACAAAAGCTGCTTCTCAGGCTATTTTCCACCACACACGCACACACTTGACTTGACTTCAGTTGGGTATCTTCCCTCTTCTGTGAGTTCAAAGGCCTGGGATCCTGTTTGGAAGTGGCTGGCAGTCACTGCAGAGGAATAGAGATCCTCTGTTCTAGAGAACTTCTGAGATGAGGTTAAGCAGTTGTCACCCAGGAAAATGAAGTTGGATTTTAAGCCCTCAAGTATCAGATGCTGAACAGCTTGAGTTAACAAATCCTGACCTCGGATGGTGTGAAAATCCTGAATGTCTGTTTTTCTCTTTTGTTGCCTGAGCACATGAAAGGTTTGAAAGCCCCCATGTTCTTCAGAGAAAGAGGTTATCTCATTAAGAGGCATTAAAGGAAGTTTGGGGTTGGGGTTTTTCTTTAAAGAGTAATCTCTGTTCAGCTCACTGGCCTGTTTCCAATCACTCTGCCTCCTCTTTCCTGTTAAAGACATCAGTCAGTTCTCATCCTGCCTCTGTGACAACCTGACGCCTGCCTAAGCTGCCATTGGTTTCCCTTTAGTCGTCTCCTTCCAGCAGGAGGATTGCTAAACCTTGGCAGAAAGGCAGAAGTGTTTCTCTTTCTCATCGCTTGATGGAGAGGGACAAAGGCAGTGTTTGGAGAAGTGCAGGGGAAATTCATGCTTTAGCCTGATTGATTCCTGCGTCAGCACGCTGGGGAACAGCTGCCCCAGATAATGATATTTAATGACCCTGACAGCACCTCAGTGGCTACTTAGAGCAGCGGATTCCGTATGTGTACGATGAGGGATAGATTTATTAGGGAAGACAATTTATCAAACAGCCATGTGATGCAGAGAACAGAGAAAGGCTCTTGCTGCAGATTCCGGGGTAAGGATGGATCCCATACTGCTGATATTTATCAAGCTGGCTTCTCCCATGTCCTCACATCACCGCCGTCCCCTCCTCCAAAAGCAGGGCTGTGAGTTAAACATGGGTTGGACTTTGGCTGGAGCTCAGAGAGCTTAGATCCTAAAGAATGGTCTTGGCTGGCGTTTTGCGATCTCCTGAACTTCTTCCTGCCTGAATGCCAAAGGCCAGATGTGGGCTCTCTGTCCTGCTCTCATCTGTGCCTTTCCTTCACCTTCCCTTGGCTGCGTTTAGCTGCGTGGTGCCGGAGGTGGTTCTCCTGCAGAGCACTCTGCGCAGCGGTGCTGATCGCTGGAGCTGCCAACCTACCTGTTTGTTGTGCTGCCTGAAAGCCTCCCACAGGGACAGTGGTTTATTCAGCTTACCTGTGCTCGCTGGCCTGGTGTGGACGGGAAGCTGACCCATCCTTGGCATCATGAGTTGGAAAAAACCCCCTCGAGCCTACTTGAGCAGGGAGGTCAGCCCGGGCTTTGTGACGCGCCTGCGGCAGGACCCACCGTGCAGCCTTTTCCCCAGGCTGGTGAGAAGCCCCCGGATGGATTTGGGAGCAGCAGGGGCTGATGGAAAGCTGCACTGCCCCAGGTGCACTGGCGATTCGGATGACAGTGCCTGAGAGGATGGTTCTTGGCAGCAGGGAGAGCTAGCTGTGTGTGAAGGTCATTTCTGCTGGTGTTCTAACAGTGTCAGCCTTGCCTTGCCTTTGAAAGTTGCTTTCCCTCTTTCTCCTGATTTAAGTGATAATCAAATGTCAGTAGCCTCTTTCCAGAGCCTCTTGCTCATCAGAAGCAGCAGATAGCTAACAAAGCCTACAGCCTTTCCACACCTTGTGGGTGAGAAAACTTTAATTCTGTTTCTGAAATATACTGTCTTAAACACGGGGATCTGAACTGGAAATTAAAAACGGGCCAGTTCAAAGAACATGGAGATGTGGCAGGGATCAGCCCTTCATTTGGCTGTGATTTGCCTCCCAGGTAAAGGACTGGCCATGACAGGCGCCTTGAAGTCTGTAAAAGGAGGATGTTGAAGGAGGAGCTTGCAAGCCCAAGTGCTGTGCTGCTGGGGAGTCTGGACAGATGGGCTCTCTTTGTCTGGGGCTGCTGAGCAGGAAGAGCTCATCTGGAAGCAGGGCTGGCATGGTGAGGCGTTTTCCTGTCAGGACTGATAGGAGCCCAGAGGGTGGATCTGCGTCTCCAGGTGGAGTGGGGCTGGTGGCAGAGAGGGCTTCCAGAGGCACCGAGCCTTTGGCAGTCTTCTGAAAAGTAACAGCTTACACACTTGGCTGCAGAACCGATTGCCATCTCGCATGGTTGAGTGCCAGGGGTTAAATTAAGTGCAGCCATCAGTTCTTGAACTGCTGGCCTTCGTTGTACTTGGAGATTTGGGTTCTCTTGAAGCTTCTGGGTTCATGAAGATTTAACCTACACAAACTCTCAGCCCTTTCCAACTGTAAAAGCTCCTCAAGGCTCCTTTGTCAGCCCCTAGGAGACTGAGCACAGGCACCCTAAGGGGTGTGACAGGGAGCCTGGCTGCTCTGCTCCCCTGGAGAAAGGACTAGTTGGGTGAAATCACTTGTTTTAAATCCTGGTAATGGTGCTTATGGTGGAGCCTTGATCTGAGTTAGGGATAAAGCCATGTTGGCTCACCCAGCTCTTGAGCAGTGCTGTCAAGAGCAGAGATAGGGCCCATACTGGTTGACCGGGTAAGTACGAATCATCCCCTTGGGTTGAGGATGGTTCTTTCCCCAAATTGTAATTTCCTTCCTCCCTTCCTCCCTTCCTCCCTCCCTCCCTCCACTTCCTTCCCTTCCTTCCCTTCCTTTCCTTCTCCTTTACCCATTTTGAAGCAGGGTGCCTCATCCAGAAGGCTAAATGAACTAAGCCATGGTATTTTCATTTCTGCTGTGTTTGGCCTTCAGGCTTGTTATTTTTTTTTTTTTCCTGGGGGGTTTTAAATCTGTGGTGACAATGGATTGCTCCCTAAAGAGTGTCCCTTCCTTCCCTTCCTTTCCTTCTCCTTTACCCATTTTGAAGCAGGGTGCCTCATCCAGAAGGCTAAATGAACTAAGCCATGGTATTTTCATTTCTGCTGTGTTTGGCCTTCAGGCTTGTTATTTTTTTTTTTTTCCTGGAGGGTTTAAATCTGTGGTGACAATGGATTGCTCCCTAAAGAGTGCTGAATATCTCCCAGGGTTTTTCCCCCTCCTTTCTCCCATTCTGTTTGAGTAGGTGGTGTCAGAGGTGAGCTGCTGGAGGGCATGGCACAGCAAAAGGGACTGAGCCAGGCAAGGCTGATGGACTTCTCAAAGCAGAGGGGACACAGCCCACTGAGGCATAACCCTACCTCTTTATTATTGGATAATATTGGATAATAACTGTCCAGCAGCGTCATGGGAAAGGATATGGATTAGGAGAGATAACAAAAGGACAGGGCTTGGTGGAGCTCAGCAGCAAACATTGTGCTATTGTGTATTAAGCAGCTAACCCGATTAATTGCAGGCTGTTACAGCCTGAGATGCCCAGCTCTATAGGTGAGGACTGTTGGCTTTAAAGACATTGGTAGCATGATTATCACTGCTCTTATTGAATAGTTTCTGACAAATGTTCCCAGACAGCTCCCACGTGGGACATTTGCTCCATGTGCTGCTCTCGATGCTATATTGTAGTTATTAGAAAGTATTGTATTTTAATAAAGAGGTATTTTATGGAGGAATAAAATTCCGGGTTTGGTTGCTGCAGGATCAGCTCTCTCCCTGTAGCACAGTCAGATCATACCATATCTATCCAAGTAACTGCAGCCCTCGGGACAGAGCATTCCCAGCCCTGCCCAAACTGTGATCTCACAGTTACATGCCCAGAAATAAGTTATCTAGCTCTTTCTCCTGGCCAGTAAGACAGAAGGGAGAAAGGACAAGAATACCCAGGAAGTCTTGGTTAAGCTCTTTTTTCCTCCATTCCATCTCCTTCAAGGATACTTGGCAGAAGGCTTCTAGGGAAGAAATTAGTAAAGGGCCCTCCAGAGGATGCTGGTGAAGCTGACATTCCATATCTCCTACTTTTTCTTACAGCTCTGCTCTCCACCAGAATCCTGCTCTTTACAGGACTTCCCAGCACTTCTCTGCAGAGAACTGATCTCAGACTGTCTCACTTCATGAGCAGGTTTCAGCTGCTGTAGTAGCTGCCACCCTTAGCAGGCTTAACCAGC